CGCTGCTGCTTGGGCTGCTGCTGGCGGCCGCGGGGCCCGGCGCAGCGCGGGCCAAGGAGACGGCGTTCGTGGAGGTGGTGCTGTTCGAGTCAAGCCCGAGCGGCGACTACACCACCTACACCACCGGCCTCACGGGCCGCTTCTCGCGGGCCGGGGCCACGCTCAGCGCTGAGGGCGAGATCGTGCAGGTAGCCACCCGCCGCCCGGCCCCGCGCCGCCACAAGATGGCTCCGGGGGCTGTGCCCGCCGACCCCACAGCGGGCGGGTGGGCAGGGGGGGCACCAGGAGGCCGGCGGCATCCCTCGCCGACAGGCGGGCGGGTCACGGCCTCTGGGCAACCGGCGGGGTGTGTGCACGTGGGGGGCTTGGCCTGTGGGCCCGGGGTGGGCGGTGGACCGTAAGTCCCGGCACCCACACTGGGGCGGTGCCCTTGGGGCGGTTGGGCATTTCTATCTGCTTCAGGTGGAAGTGCCGAGAACTACCTGTTGCATGCCAGTTTGGAAAGACAGGGATGACGGCTTGTTTTCATTCAGTTCAGCGGCTTGACTCTCCATCCATCCATATTCTTTTGGGGAGCCACCAGGTTTGGCCGAGCATGACTTCCTCACCTGGGTGCTGACCCATCTGTTGGGTGAGGACCGGCAGGGGCGCAGGGGGAGGTAGCCGAAGAGTGGACGTGGGGGTACACAGGAGTGGCGGTGGAAGACCGCCCATGCTGCAATCCTCATATTACAGAGGGGTGCAGCAAGGAGTCCGCCTGCCCGCTTCTGGGCCAAGGACTTGTGCGGAGGGCCTGGAAGTCGGGAGACAGGGGCACGCACTGACAGTGCCTTCTCTACCTTGCTCGGTATGAAAGGTCTGCATTCCAAAATAAGCTGGCTGGAGACAGCTTTGAGCTGTGCCCACTCTTGGGAGGAGAAGGAGGAACTAGCAGCTCAGAGGATGGTTCGCTGGGCGGTTGGTTACCTTCCCGCGTCTCTGGCGGTGATTTTATCAGTTTGTTGGTAGACCGCAGGTGGATGGATGACGGTTCTGCTTGCTGCCGTGGGGAGGCATTTGAAATGGTTGGCTTGTCTCTGAACCTGCTGGTGTGATAGGATGCTTGCAGGGCCTGTGCTTTGGGGGTTCTGTGCTTTGCTTTTGGGCCAGTTAAAATGAAGAGAAGGCACATGTAGCCGAGTGTGGAGCCCCTGCGTGGGCAGGACAGGGAACTTGCATGTTGGCTCCTTAGAGGTATATCTTGCAAAGCCAACAGGCGGCTTTTTTTTTTTTTTTTTTTTTTGTCTAGCGATTATCAGCAACATTGCCTTCAGGGCTCTTATCCCCTTCTTCAGCACCTGTGGGGTAAATAGAAGGGGAAAACATGTTATTTAAGTCTTGTGACTACCTATATTGCTAAAGACTTTTCAATTTTGTGTGTGTGTGTGTGTAATGATAAAATTGTAGTGTTTAATTCATAAGCTTTAGAGACCTTGCTGTGCTGAAGATTCCTAAACCTTTCAGCCCCCACCTTCAAGAATTGTGTGACTTAACTCCTGTCCCTATGTCACTTTGTCTCAGAGCTTCACAATGCCCTGGTTGCTTTAGAAGTGTGTGATTTGTAGTCCTCCAAGGAAAAGAGAAAAAGATTATTTTAGCATGACACTTCACTTATTTGAAGGATACTTGAAAAAAAAAATGCAGTGTTTTAACTTGTACACTTTTTGAGAGTTTGTCTGGCAGATTATCCATTATGGGTTGTGCTATGCTTTGGAAAATATCTTGGCTTCCCCATTTAATACAAAATTAGCTGCTTAGACATACCATTTGTAACTATTTTATCTTTCTGAATAGAGACAGAAAGTGTGAGAGGGAGCCTATTCTCTTTTGAAACTTTTTGAAATGCTTATCTATCTCTTTTGTTGTCCTCTGTTGTTAAGTGCCATTGAGTCAGTTTTGACTCCTAGTGACCCTGTGTAGGTTTCCAAGGAGCAGCTGGTGGGTTTGAACTGCCATCCTTGTGGTTAACGGTCTAGTGCTGATCCAACAGCGTTATACCAGGACTCTATGTAGTCCGTTAACCTAGCAAAAAAAAAAGAAGTCAACAATTGCTAAGTAAAGAAAAGTAACTTAAATCGTATTAAATATGCTGACCGGTTAAGCAGCTGTGGCAACAGTAGTGAGCTTGGCCCAGGATCAGGCAGTGTTTCATTCTGCTGTGCATAAGGTTGCTATGGGTTGGTACCGACTCAATGGCACCTAACAACAATACCTCAAAACCAAATCCACTGCAATTCTAACTTGTAGCACCGCTATGAGATGGAGCTAAAGTGCCCTATAGGGTCTCAAAAGCTGTAATCTTTAAGGCTCTCATCATTGTTCAGAGAACTGAGGCGTGCTGTTACTTCAAACCCCTGATCTTTTGGTTAGCAGCCAAGCACTTTAGCCACAGTGCCACCAGGGCTACTTGTAATCACTGATAAAACCCACTGTCATCAAATTGATCCCGACTCCTAGGTGTGGTGCTGTAAGATCAGCACTGGACTGTGAATCACAAAGTCAACAGTTCAAAACCACCAGGTGCTCCTTGGAAACCCTGTACAGGGTTGCTATGAGTCAGAACCGACTCCATGGCACTTGACAACAACAACAACAACCTACCAAGTCTATAGTGACACTATAGTAGAGTAGAACTGCTTCTTAGGGTTTCCGAGACTAAATCTTTATTGGAGCAGACAGCCTCATCTGTTCTTCTATGGAGCAGCTGGTGGGTTTGAACTGCTGACTTGTGGTTATCAACCAAACACTAACCTCATTGCTCCATGCAATCATAAATACCAAAATACTAAATTCACTGCCATTCAGTCAATTCTGAACCATAATGATCCTGTTAGGGCTTCCAGGGCTGTAAATAATTTTTTTGGAACAGAAAGCCTCATCTGTCTCCTGTGCAGCAGCTGGTGGATTTGAATTGCCAACCTTGAAGTTACAGCACTCCCAGGGCGTCTGCAATCACTAATTGTTGTTAATTGTCATTGAGTTGGTTCTGACTCATAGCAACCCCATGTAGGGTTTCCAAGCTAGTGGGCTTGAACTGCCAACCTTGTGGTTCAGTGCTTATGTTGTGGTGCCACAGCAAGACTTCCTAATAGGTGTCCTTAATTTGTTTATAATTGCAATGATGTTGGTGAGCTTATCTGTGCTGTCAGAACAGTCATTTCTTAACGCATTCTACATCTTTAATAACTTTCTGTGGCCTGGTCCTTGAGCCTCTCTGTGTCCTCAGATGGAGCACAGCATGGCTCCCTGGACTCTTTGAATAGTGCTGGATTAAAGTAGCAGGAGTGGCCCTTGTTGGCCCTGGAAAAAGGGTGCTTTTTCTTTTCTTTTTAATAAGAAAAGCTGATGGACAGAGGTGCATAAAAATGGCAGCAACCCTTCTTCCCACAGCACACTCTACTCAGCTGGCTTCAATAGTTCATTGCAGTGGTTACACAGAATCCGAATACTATATTCACAGTGATGGGGCTTATTGTTGTTTTAGTGCCGTCAAGTCAGTTCCAACTCATACAGACTCTGTAGAGGGTTTCATAGGAGCGACTGTGGATTTGAACTGTCTACCTTTCAGTCTAGTGCTTATCCTACAGCACTACACCAGGACTTCTGGGGCTTATTAAGGAAGTTTATTTCTAGCATATATTTAGGTCTGTTACAACACCAGGCAGAAGAAACCTTGTTTAGCCAGCCTGGCTTTTGCCCCAGGTGACTCCAGTAGCAGCTTATCTCCCCTCAGTTGCAACATAACATCTCTTACGTTCCTTTCAGCTATTACAGATAATGATAACCAGAGTAACCATCTAAGAAATCAAAAGCTTCACTTCCAGTGCCCCTTCATTCTCCTTTACAAACCCCATGCTTCGAGTAGTTTGAAACCATTCCACTGAACCCCATTTCTAACACCAGCGGCAATAACTGGCACCACTAATCCCTCCCAGGGTGTGTTCAGTAATTCATTGCAGTGGCCCTTTCTCTCAGCCCTACACCCCCCTCATCCTCCTATATGGACTAGGTAGTGCCCGTAGTCATAAGAGTCCACATAGCTTCCTACACTCCACACCAGTCAGCTCTTATCTCTTAACCCAACCCTTCATTGCTGCACATTCCCCCACTTCCACTCATCAGGTGGCCCCAGGTGGTCACTAGGGAGCATGTCAGGTTGTCTGCTTCTCAGCTCTCCTTAACTTTCATTCCTACAAGGGAGCTTTCTCTGATGGGCACAGACTTCCTGCCTCAGTGCATCCAATGGCAAACTGCTCAAACTTCAAATGCCAGTTTTTTTGTTTTTTTTTTTAATCTGCAGGTCTTTAATAAAAAATCTGTTCTCTCAGCAGTTGTGTGTGGGTGTGCATGTTTTTTCAAATGTGCATTTTTCTGACTTAATGTTCTAGATGGGGCTCAGGTTTCGACCTAAGTCTCTATATTCTATACACAGGCTACTGAGTTTTTTAAAAAAGCCTGTTCCTTCTGGGAAATTCCTAACTTCACTTGTAGCAAACCTAACCAAGTATAGGCTGAATGCGGACTTACAAGCTCTCTATAATCAAGATCTGTTGTTACAACACAAGGTAGAGGAAACCTTGCTTAGCCAGTCTGTTTTTTGCCTTAGGTGACTCCAGTAGCAGCATCCCTCCCCCCTCACCCCCCAAGTTGCAACATAAGATCTCTTACTTTTTTTTTTGGCCGTTACATGTATGGATAACCAAAGTCACCACCTAAGAATTGGGTTTCACTCTCATGCCCCTTCATTTTTTCTCTTACAAACCCCTTGGTTTCATGAATCTGGAGTCATTGTAATGGACCCTGCTTCTGTCACCAACTGCAAAAAATGGCATGAACTCTCCCTCCCTCCCATGGTACATTCTCCTTAGCTGGGTTCAATAATTCATTGCAATGTCCACATAGAACTCAGACACCATACTCACAGTTAAGGAGTTTATTAAGGAAGTTAACAGGTTGCAGTTTAGGGTCAGCATTGTTCAGGGCACAGTACTTCTAGGCAGGACAGTCTCTCCTCCGCTGTGCCCACAGGCAGGCCTCTCTCTGGCCTTCAGCCCCTTGGTCAGGCTTCTGCCCTGCTCTGGCAATGCTGCAAAGCTCTTTTTGGGCTACAGATAATGCCCAAAGTGTACTCTGCTCATTATGATGAACC